ATAGATCAGAGGCTTTGCCTAGAGGATAGCTCTTTCAGCTTTAAAACTCATTCTGGGTCTTGTTGTTCTCATTGGTGAGCATCTCATAAGGCTCACTATAGCTAGCTGGCCTCCCCAATGCTTCACTTTATACCGAGACCATCTTCTCTCCATCTGCCACTTTACCTCCTCTTTTCCAATCCTGGAACCATAATTAAATCTACACTATTGCTACAGGAAATGTCATGATACTCTACTTCTCCATGCTCCACTCACTATCCTAGTGACTTTCCTTATCAAAACATCCCTCCCTGGCCACCACTCCCATTTGTCTTTTGCATTATAAAGTACTTAACAAATGTTTTTAATTCATTAATTTAAGCATGCATGCATGCATTCATTCATTCCACATGAGAGTTCTTCAGATCCATGAAGATAGCTATCATACTTAATAGAAGTAGAAAAGATTAAGAAGTGGTGGCAAGAATGTAAAGAAGAACTATACAGGGAATATCTTAACATCACTATGGTGATAACCACTATGATGTGGTTTCTGATCTAGAGCCAGATATCTGGCTAAAAATAAAGCTAATGGAAGTGAATGGAATTCTAGTCCTAAAAGATGATGCTGTTAAAATGCTGCACTCAATATCCCAGAAAATTTGAAAAATTGAACAGTGGCCACTGGATTGGAAAAGATTGGTTTATTTTCCAACCCTAAAGAAGGGCAATTACAAAGAATGTTCAAATTACTGAACAATGGTGTTCATTTCACACTACAGCAAGGTTATGCTTAAGATTCTAAGATTCTGCAAGCTGGGCTTCAGCAATATGTGGACCAAAAATTACCAGAAGTGCAGGCTGGTTTTCAAAATGGCAGAGGAACTAAAGACCAAATTTCTAGCATTGTTGGATTATGGAGAAAGCAAAGGAGTTCCAGAAAAGACAGACGAAAATAAAAACATATGCTACTTCATTGACTACACTAAAGCCTTTGACTATGTGATTCACAACAAAATGTGTCAAATCCTCAAAGAGATGGGAGTATTAGATCATCTTGCTTATCCTCTGAAGAATCTTTTCATGGGTTAAGAAGCAACAATTAGAATTGAACATGGAACAACTGATTGGTTTAACATTGGAAAACAAGTATGATAAGGCTGTATATTGTCACCCTATTTATTTAACTTTTAAGCAGAGTACATCATGAGAAATGGCAGGCTGGACTAATCAAAAGCTGGAATTAAGGTTTTTGGGAGAAATATCAACAATCTTAGATATATAGAATATAGCACTCAGGTGAAAGCAAAGAACACTTAAGAAGCCTCTTGATGAGGGTGAAAGATAAAGGTGTAGGAGCTGACTTAAAGCTTAACATTAAACTTAATATTAAACTTAACATAAATTAAATAATTAATTATACTAATTAACCAATCAATTAATTTAAACAAATTAAATGTAAATTCAATAATTAAACATAAATTGAATTATAAATTAAACATTATTAAACTTAACATTAAAAAATGGCTTAACATTGACAAAAAACACTAAGATCATGACAACTGGTCCCATAATTTCCCAGCAAATAGAGGGAAAAGAAATGGAAGCAGTGTCATATTTTATGTTCTTGGCCTCAAAGATTGCTACAGATGGTGACTGCAGCCATGAAATTAAAAAAAGAAAAAGAAAAAGCTTATTCCTTGGAAGGAAAGCTATGGCAAATCTGGACAACATACTAAAAAGCAGAGACATCAACTTGCCAAAAAAGTCTGTATAGTCAAGACTATGCTTTTTTTTTCAAGTAGGAATGTATAACTGTGAGACTCTAAAGAACTCTCTAACAAACTCTAAAGGACTCTAAAGAAAGCTGAATTGTGGTGCTAGAGAACATTTTTGAGAGTCCTTTGGACAGCAAGGAGATCAAATCAGCCAATACTTTAAAAAATTAATTCAGGCTACTCATTGGAAGGACAAATACTGAAGCTGAAACTTAAATACTTTGGTCACATAATGAGAAGAGAGGACTCATTGGAAAAGACCCTGATGTTGGGAAAGATTGAAGACAAATGGAGAAGGGGATAGAAGAGGATGAGATGGATAGATAGTGTCATGGAAGCAATGACAATGAAGATGAGCTTGGAGAGACTTCAGGAGATAGTGAAGGATAGAAGAGCCTGACATGCTATGGTCATGGGGTCACTAAGAGTCAGGCATGACTGAATGAATGAACAACAACAATCATATTGCACCTAAGTCTTCTCTTTTCCATGTTAAACATCCTTTATCTGAGCCTTATCTTGTCTTTTCCTGCCCTAATTGCTCTTCTTTGGAAACTCTCTGTTTTATCAATATGTTAAAATGTGTTTTTGGCTTGAGAACGCCCTTTACAAATCTATCACTTAATAACTAATAACTAGGGAGCTGTCCCAGGAAAATAGAAGTAATAACAAGGTTTTACATATAGTGTCAGAATCTGAATTTTTACCCAGCTCTTCCTGATTCCAAGTCCAACATTACTTCAAGACCATCCATTACTTCACAATACCACTCAGTTTATGAATATTCTTCCTAAAATGTGGCACCCAAGTCTGAGCCCCATTTTATAGATGTGCTCATGCCATCTACATTAGTGAATATGATGAAAATAGCTAGCATTTATGTAGTGCCAAGTATGCAAAGCACTTTACAAATGAATCCCCATTTTACAGATGAGGCACCTGAGACAGAGGTCCAATTACTTGCCTAGATAGCTAGTATCTGAGCACAGATTTAAACTCAGTTCTTCCTGACTGCAGGTGCAGAAATCCATCCAATGCCTTGCCTATAAACAATACTGGAATCATGATATACTGTCATTCAAATTGACAGTATATCTGTCAATTCTTAACTCATATACTGTCAATTCGTAACTCAGTTTAAGGAAGGTCCATCTTGGATCTCATCATAGAGAAATTATTTAGAAAGACATTGGAGGGCTTTTTTCTTGTGTGAGCTTGTGTGTGTGTGTGTGTGTGTGTGTGTGTGCATGAGTGTGTGCGTGCACACGTTGGTATTTCGTGGTTAATGTGTCAATAGAAAGGATACAGGACAACATTCTAAAAGTTATTATTAATATCATATAAAAGTATAAAATGCTTTCTAAAATTTTATAAAGCAGTGTTATTTCTGAAACACATCTTTACACTAGCTGGTCCCAAATAATACCAAATATTATTGTTAGCATGGCATGCATAATAATCCTTGCATGATGTTTTGTGCACACCTGTGACCACCAATAAGGGAGTTGTGCCTCAGTTGTCATCCAAATATGTTTTCTCCATTTTTCCCTTCGATGTTGTAATGGAGTCCTTTAATTTTCAAAGGTTTATGCATATTGAGAAAAAACATTTAAATTAATATCAACATAAAACTTAAAAATTCAAACATACCTCTTCTACTTCTGATACTTCAAAAGATGTGCTCTCAAATCTAGAAGCTCTTATAATTCTTCTGAATAGTGAGGAGAATGTTTGGCTGGAAGTTAGGGTGGTTATTTGGAAATTTACATGGTAATATGTCATTTGAGAAGATTTGCTGCCAGAGGAGGGCAACCAGGATGGTGAAGAGTCTTAGTCCTGCCTTGTGAGTTAGTTGAAGCTGGGACTGCTTGGGGAGGAGAAGAGAAGATAGTGGGAGAGGGAACAAGACAGCTGTCCTCAATTATTTGAACATCTATCTTATGAAGAAAGGATGAGACTTGTTGTTCTTGGTCCCAGACAAAGGTTCTTGACTATTTTGTATATGTGTGTTATGGACCCTTTTGGCAATCAGTTAGAGCCTGTGAGCCCCTTCTCAGAATAAAATACAAATAAAATCAATTATATTAAAAATAGTTTCCAAAATGAGTAGCTAGGTGGTACAGGGGATAGAGAATGGGCTTGGAGTCAGGAAGATTCATCTTCCCAAGTTCAAATCTAGCCTAAGACATATAATAGCTGTGCACCTCTGGGCAAGTCACTTTACCCTGTTTGCCCCAGTTTCCTCATTTGGAAAATGAGCTGGAGAAGGCAATGACAAAGCACTCCAGTATCTTTGCCAAGAAACTCCAAATGGGGAAAGAATCAGACACAACTAAAATCACACAACAACAGTTATCAAAATATTTTATTAAAAAGTTCAGGGATCCCTGAAATCCTTTATTACAGGAGACAGAACTAGGAGCAGAAATATCGTTTAGTGAAAAAAACTTAAGCTTTGTATAAGGAAATACATGATAATTTTTTAATGCTTGCATTCCCATAGTGGAACTTGCAGCCTCAGGATGTAGTGCATGCTCATTCATGGGAAATCTCTAAACAAAGGCAGATAACCTTTCTTTGTAAGGGGATTTTTTTTTTTGGATATAGATAGAATTAGGTGGCTTTTCATGTCTGAAATTTTTTGATTCTCTTATGCATTGTCAGCAAAGGCAAAGTGATGACTCAAGTGTTGCTACAGTCTTAAAAATCCCTTTTCTGCCTGTGATTAGAGTACAGCAGCTTTATTCCCCCTTCTCTTTGGTGGTACTGCAGAGACAAGGAGGAATACTTAGAGTACATGAATCTTAATTTATCTGACCCAGGTACCTCACCACCAGCTGCATGTATTTCACAGCTTGGTTGGCAATTAATGATGTAAGCCTTTCTATCCATTTCATTTGGGAAACTGTAAGGTGCATGAAATTGAAATATTACATCACTGCAAGTAGATCTATAAAAAAAAAGTTTCTTTACATATACCTCTTAGAATTTCCCTTCCTCCTCCATAGAATCTAGCTAATTCATATGAATACCATTAGCATAAAATAACAATGAAACTTTGATGTTTATCTGGATTATCAGTAATTTGTTTACTTACTGTTTAGAAAATAAAATTTAAGAATGCTTTAGTTCAATTCAATAGGCTGAAGACATTTGTTGGAAACTACTTAACTTCCTTTGAAATTTTTAACCTTTTCTTTTATTGGCAAGACATAACATTTCTTTTCCTTTTTTCATGGTTAGGACTATAGAGTTAACATCTTCCTGAGGCAGAAATGGAATGATCCTCGGCTGAAACTGCCCAATGATTTTAGGGGCTCAGATGCACTGACAGTGGACCCCACCATGTACAAGTGCCTGTGGAAACCTGACCTATTTTTTGTCAATGAAAAGAGTGCAAATTTCCATGATGTTACACAGGAAAATATCCTCCTCTTTATTTTTCGGGATGGAGATGTCTTAGTTAGTATGAGGTACAGTTTCATATTATCATTTTCTTTTAAAATCAGTGGTTCACTTGAGAGATATTGTCAATGGCATCTAAGCACTCTATTTATATTTTCAGATTATCTATTACTCTTTCCTGCCCTTTGGACTTGACCTTATTTCCTATGGATACACAACGTTGCAAGATGCAATTGGAAAGCTGTATGTACATAATATTAAGCATGATATGGGTTCATTTAAAAATGCCTAAAACAAATAGTTGCATATATCCTCAATATTGTAGAGAATAATTATAAAGATGAATGTTATTAATTATAAACCATTCACTAGTTTTCTTTTGTTTAGGACACATTTGTTCTATTCACTAATCAACATATGCTCACTTATTAATTCATACACAACTTTATTATCCTGTTATATAATTTTATAACACTGATGTAGAAACAGATTTTTTAGCTAATTTCTAAGTATGGAATTATCATTGCAAAGAAAAAGAAAAAAACAATTTATGTAATTTCAGAAAGTTCATTAATTAACATGTTTATTGTTAACTGAAGAGGTAGCCTAGCATAGTGGATTGAGAGATGGTCTAGAAGCCAGGTAAGTTAGGGTTTAAGTACTGTCTCTGACCCATACTGGCTCTTTTAATCTCTATGTACTGTCCTAGCAACCCTCTAAACTTGTAAGTGCAGAGAAGCTGCTGATCTGTGCTGGTAGAAGGAATTTCCTCACCTGGGAGTTCCCTATACAGTATTAATTTACAGGTCTATCCTTTGCCCCATTCTTTAACTACCAAACACAAGATGAAAATGATTTGAATTTGGGATAACCATGTTATTGGATACAATTGGGAAATTATATGTGATGTGGGAAATTATAATGTGAAAACAACACCAACAAAATAGAATTAGTCCCATTCAGAAGCTCAACATTGGGTTTATCAACGATACTTGTTTTTGAAGTTGTTAAATATTTTAATTAAGAGAAAGTGTTGCAAGTCACTACACAACTTCCAGGAATACATGAATGGTTACCAATATTTTTTCTGCAGTATATAAAGCATTCTGTTCAATATCATGAATATCCTGGGCAGACAAAATATTTTACAGACTGTGGTTCAATTATTATTAAATTTTTCTCTGTAATGTGCTGAAATGGAACTTAAACTTGAGCAGTGATTTTTTTTCTTACTTTAGAAAAGTTCACCCAACTATAAAAGGAAAATGTCTGCATATGTTTCCAAGACTGTGCATTCAGTATTTGATCCTATTCCCAGATACACCCAAGGGTAGCCTTAAGTAATCTGTATGTTTGAGGGATAAACAATAGAGTCTTTATGTTGTATGCTCTAAGATTATACAGGATCCTTGTACTATGTTAGCATTGCATATCTTCACCATCTGTGCTTTAAAATTCAGAAATCATGCTTCCATTAAGCAAAATATTGAGAATATACCCATTTATTGGGTTGTTTTTGTTGTATTGTGATAGCTATCGCCCTAGAGTTGGGTTTAGGTTTGGGTTCCTCAATTAGTGAGTATTTCAGTACTTGAACCAGATGATCAGCTGCTACCTTGAGTATCCAGGGAGCAAATTGAACAACTATTTGCTTCATTCATGTTCTCTAAGCAATTCCACTTGAATCTTTTGGCCCAGATCTGTCTTCTATAAGTTCACTGGGGGCAGTCACCTTTCAGATAATATTTGAACTCGGGCATGTAATTTCAGTGATATGAGGACATTTGTTTACTGCCAACATGAAGAGAAGAGACTAATTATGCGCTATGATGAAGCATACCTCTTTTTTTGACCTTGATGATTCTCCACTTGAGCTATGCTACTTGACATGAGGGAAAAAGAATCACTGTAGTTATTCATTAGCTGCCACACTTATCTATATGAGGACAGAAGAGAAATAAAGACAGACCAAGCACTGGCCAGTTAAGCAGAGACTCCTGGAGCCTGAAGGAGAGTGAAAACTGAGTAAGATGCTGGTTGTCTCATCTTTCTGCTTTTCTTGAATATGTGCCTTCTAGGAGTCTGGGGCTTTTTCACTCAGGTTTCTGTCAGATGGAAAGAAGAGTTCTTTATAAGTTATTTTGGAGGCAAGGGAAGTTGAACTTACTGAGGATCAATGTGTCTCTCTGTATGAATATGGAAATATTGAAACTCAAATGCAACTCATTCTTTATTTTCTGCTAAAATAATGCTATCTAACACTGTAAGTTACATATGAGTTGCAGATCTTTTTTGTTGTAGGGGATTTCCACAATGAAAATCTCTTATCCAGAATAAATCACCAGTTCAGAGCCCCAAGTTGCATGCATGACAAGTATTGCAGTAGTGTGCAAATTAACTAGGACAAAGTAAAATGTTAGTGTATAATAAACTTTATACACCCCGGACTAATTTTTAATAGGCAATCTATCCCCACATTACAGCAATCACTTCTTTCCTGCAATTTGACATGGAATTTACAAAAATTTTACAAATAGTCTTCATCATTTTAAAAATCACATTTTTATCACATAAAGTATATCTTTGACAGTTAATTTTTCCAAAACTAGCCTTGATGATAGCACCCAAGTTTTTATTGAGTTTTACATAAGGTGAGTTACCAGGCCTTTTTCCTCCACTTTTAAAATTATTGTTTTTATTCAATTAATGAGCATCTAGCCTCTCTCCCTGTGTATCCTTTCCCTTCTTTTTTTTTGTTGTTTCTTTTAAGATCATCATAACATAATAGAGATTTTTCCCAGGTTCTGAATCTTATCTGACTGTATCCTTTGTTGTCTTGGGCTGAAAAGATGACCCATTGGAGTTTCTCCTTCAATATCCTAATGACTACTCAGTCTAATTTTCTTCTTTGATAGTTGTTGTAGAGCTTGTGGGAGGAGTTGGGTTATCCTTATTTCTCCTACTAGTTTATCTCACAAAATCTCAAGTCTTTGGAGACTGTTAATCTCTGTCTCTTAGATAAATTTCTTAACCCTTCATTCCATTTGCATGATGTAAGGCCTTTTTTGTAGTATCCCATGTCTATTTAGGAATCTCTATAATTCCAGAATAATTCTCTTCTCCATGTATAAATATACTTCTTAGATTTAATCATTTTCTCTTTGTGGACAAGATCTATATACCACCAAAATTTGATGAGGGGTGAGGGAGAAGGGATGTTTTACTAAGGAAGATACCTAGATCTTATAGGCTCATCTAGTATGCTTGCAACAGTTTAGTTATACTTTTAAATGAAAAAGTTAGTTTCAGCATTGAAAATTACCCCTTTCCAATCTTCAGAACTCCATTCTTTGTACTGTCTTACCCATGACAATATTTTTTCGTAGTAAAGATTATCAATACTTTTGTTTCACTGTTATTGTTATGGTGTGTGTGTGTGTGTGTGTTTCCGTGTGTGTGTGTTTCTCTGTGCGTGTGTGTGTATTTTAAATACCAGTCTTCTCTCTATTCTTCCAACATTAGGCAGCCTTTGGTGTGCTACAGAGGAATCAATACCAACCTGTTTCATTGCTAAATCCCTCTGAAGGTCTTTGCTTGTTTTTTTGAAGATTAATTTGGCTCATTTGTGGCAATTATTTGCCAATGCTTGGTGGTGTTTTTATTTTTGATCATACTTTTCTTTGTGATTTGGCACAACTGATTCTATTTCATCATGGGCTTGAATGATCCTTGGAATATTTTATTTCTTCACATCAACAGCCACTTCAATATCCCTAGTAGTTGTTGAAATGTGCTTGTTAAGAGTGACAACTTGGGGCAGCGAGGTGGCACAGTGGATAGAGCACCGGCCCTGGAGTCAGGAGGACCTGAGTTCAAATCTGGCCTCTGACACTTAACACTTACTAGCTGTGTGACCTTGGGCAAGTCATTTAACCCCATTGCCTAGCCAAAAAAAAGTGACAACTTTCATGAGATTCCTTAGAGTAATACTTCTTTAAAAAACAGAATTAAAAACACAGCATATATGTATATGTATATGGCATGAAATAAAACACTCAATTGATGGAAAACTAAAAGTAGCAAATATAGGTCATATCTAGTTTCATCTGGTCAAGGTCAGACATTTTGAGTCAGTTTAGTGTCAGGAGAAGTAGATGCATAACCATTGCTGTCATAAATTGAAACCATATCAAAAATATTATTAGCCCCAAGGAGTTCACATGCCATTAACTTACTGTGTATTCACACACTTTCTAATCTCTAGTTGTCTAGCTCTCTGGTGCAGCAAGGCTCTGCAAACTCTGGCATGTCTATCTCTCTACCCAGTCTTCCTCTGCATTTCCTGAGAGAGTTCTAAATCCTGGAAGCGAGAGAACCCCTAATCAATTATTTGAAACTTAGGGCTGGAAACTTTGAAATCTAGTTGGAAATTTTGATGTTTCCTAGAGCCACTGGTCACAGTGAACAATCTATGAAATTTTACTTCTTATGTTCATTTCTCTTTTAAAATTCTATTATGGACACTGTAGTTGACATTGAAATATTGCCACTTTTATAAAGTTGGAATCATACCTTTGGAAAAATACTTAAGTGTTCATTGTTTTTCCAAAGTGAGGTTTTCATCTTTCACTAAAGTAATAAAACTCTATAAAAAGCTGGAAAGTTTGCTTTCTAATGTCTTTGAAACTTTAAATAAATCTTATCCAGGGCACATCACCTCTAGAGTAGTATTCATGGCACTGATGATCACTGTCAGTAGTTATCTTTAAATACAAAAGACTACTCAGAATTTGACTGTTTCAGAAGCTTGAGCCACAGTACATGGGTAGCAAAGGTGTTTGCAGCATATATAATAACACCTAGAAATAGCATAGTTTAAATTAGCTGGCTATTCTTCCTTTGTACATGGTTTATACATTGACATTTTATGACCTCTTTTTTGTCTAATATTGAAATTAGCTAGTATGAATCTTGTTTAAGTTCTATGTAACACTAAGTTGACCAGAAATAATAGAAAGGCTGCATTGAAGTAATTATGCAGGGTTTAAAAAAGAACAGATTGCTTGATTACTTTTACAGACATTATGATACAGTTATGGGCCTAGAGATATATAATGGTATCAAAGAAGTTGAATCTTGCAAAGCACTATAGAAGTCATTTAGCACATCCTCTGCTTACTTCCCCCTTTAAGGGAGAAGAAAATGAGGCCCAGAGACATTTTATGTGACTTGATCAAGGTCTCATAGCCAGTGACAGAACTGGACTCTGAAAACAGATCTTATCATTTCAAGTAATGTACTCTTTCCAGGGTACCATCAGTTGGCCACAACATATGTCTGCACATTCTTTTCTTTTTAAAAAATTATACATTCTTTTAAGATCCAATTGTATGAAAAAAGTTTAATGATGTTATTTTATAACCTTTGCTATGTTAAAATTTCAAATTATCTAGAAGAAAAAATAAAATTAAAGTTATTATACGCATGATATTCATACATACATTTCTGCCTGATGTGCATAATTCAAACTATTTTTTGTTTGTTTTTCATAAAGTTGGTTATACAACGGATGATTTGCGATTTCTCTGGCAATCAGGGGATCCTGTCCAGTTAGAGAAAATAGCTTTGCCACAGTTTGATATTAAAAAAGAAGATATTGAATATGGTAACTGTACCAAATATTACAAAGGCACTGGTAAGTAATCTTTAGGATAAAAAGAGAATCTGTATCAGATAACATTCTTTAATTTGATTGTAATATCAATAAATGACCAAATGTAGAATAAAAGAGAATTATGCAAAAATAATTTTGAAATAGCAATAAGCTGGTAATATCCTAATTTTGAAAAAAAATTCACATTTACTAAGGTATTTTTGTACTTTCTAATGATATGACAGTTGCATTATTGATTTGACCTTTCTTATATACTTTTCTGGATCTGAAAGCTTTGATAGAAAACTTAAATTTTATGTGCTGAAAATGTAGACTACCCCACCCTGAGCAAATTGCTTTTTCTAGTGAAACTAAGAAACACCATTTCTGACAAGACCTCACTGGGTAGCAAAACAATACTGGAAATGAGAATGTCATTGAGATTGGTTTAATCCATGTAAATTCAAGCAATTACTTATTTTGCCAGCTTCAGGGTGATGGGTGACATGTGTTTCATTTTGAAGAAAAAATGTTTTCTAACCTTTATCCTGGTCAGAGAATCTATTAATCAATCAATAAACATTTATCAAAACAGTGTCAGACACTGTGAAAAGTTCTGGGGATTAAAAAAAAGGCAAAAGACAAGTCCCTGCCCTTAAGAAGAACAAAGCTTTTTATTTTTAAAATATTTATTTTTAATTTATTTTTAATATTCTTAAAAAATTGAGTTCCAAATTCTCTCCATGCCTCCCAACCCTCTTCCACCCACTGAAAAGACAAGTGATATGATATCAATTATACACGTAAAATCATGCAAAATACTTCTGTGTTAACCATATCACAAAAAAGAAAAGCAAGAAAAATAAAGTGAGAAAACTATTACTCCAATTTGTACTTAGAGTTCATCAATTTTCTCTCTGGAGGTGGATAGCATTTTTCATCATGAGTCCTTTGGAATTGTCTTGGATCATCGTATTGATTAGAGTATCTAAGTCTTTCACAGTTGATCATCATTACAATACTGCTGTTACTGTATACAATGATCTTCTGGTTTTGCTCATTTCACTTTGCGTCAGTTCATATAGGTCTTCCCATGAGTTTCTGAAACCACCCTCCTCATACTTTCTTATAGCATGATATTACCTAATCACAAACATGTGCCACAATTTGTTTAGCCACTCACCAATTGATGGGCATCCCCTCAGTTTCCAATTCTTTGCCACTACAAAAAGAATCACTATAAAGATTTTTGTATATAGAATTCCTTTTCCTTTTTCTTTGATCTCTTTGGTGTATAGAACTATCAGTGGTATTGGTGTGTCAAAGCATATACAGGTCTTATAGCCCTTTGGGCACAGCTCCAAATTGTTCTCCAGAATGGTTGGACCAGTTCACAACTCCACCAACAGTTCATTGGTATACCTATTTTCCCTTATCCTTTTCAGTATTTGTCTATTCTGAAAGGTGTAAGGTGGTACCTCTGAGTTATTTTAATTTGTCATTCTTTAATCAATAGTGATTTAGAATATTTTTTTCATAGAAGTATAAATAGCTTTAATTTCTTCTTTTGAAAACTGCCTCTTGGAAATTAGTCAATTGGATAATGGCTCTTATTTTTTTTCTAAATTTTCTAAATTTCAAAATGTTTTAAAATTTTTTTCTAAATTTATAAATTAAAAAATGGTAAATTTTAAAAATTTGAATCAGTTCCCTATACATGCGATAAAAGAGGACTTTATCAGAGAAGCTTACTGAAATTTTTTATTCATATTACTTCATTGTCTATGGTACCTTTTATCAAACACAAAGAATTTTAGAATAAGAATTAGAAACCAGTAAAGGCAGTACATCCTTTAAATACAGCTGGGCCTATGTTACAGAAAAGCTGATCTGATAAGAAGAACAAATTGACCTCATTCATTAAATTATATCTAACATTTGTAGAAATGAAAAAACATGACTCATTTGTCAATGTTCTTGTAACAAAACTACTGTTTTTCAGAAATTGAGATACCCATTTTTATAGTCATGAAGACCTGAGTTAAAAACAGACCTCAGACTCTTATTGTCTGTATGGGCAAGTCACTTAATCTCTGTCAAGTTCAGTTGCCTCATCTGTAAAATGGGGATTATAATAATAACACCTACATTTTGGGTTTTTCAGAGGGTCAAATGAGATAACAATTTTAAAGCACTTAGTGCCTGGCATGTAGTATAAACTATATCAATGTCACCTTTTATTACAAGTAATTGAGGGGCATCTACATGATCCATTTAACTATAAACTGAACTCAAAGATTTTGATTATTGCATTAATATTAATAATTGATTCTCTTTTCAATTAAAAAAAAAGTATCAGCATCATATATGATCTAGATACCATACTGAATATCTTCAATAGTTTATTAGACTATTAAAAACCTAAATTCTATGCAACTGTAATGTTGATCCACTTTCAGATGATTAAAAGGGTGGGCTGACTCAATGATATCAGGATGTCTGCATGAACTCAGCATGCCAAACTTCCTTTTGTAGCAAGAAGTGATTAACTCTGCCTATAATATTTAGAGTTAACATAAAGAATGCAGTATGTAGTTATTGGGGTGCAAAGTTTGTTTAAATATCTATTGCTAAATCAATCAATTTCATATCAGGTTGTAATTAAAGTAATATACTTTATACAATTATATCTTACTATAATTTTAAAATAATCCAGTAATGCTGTACTTTAGATGAATTAAGTTCCATTTTAGTGTTGATTTGTAATCTATTTTTAAATATTGATTTTAATGAGTCTAAATGATTATTTAATAATTTAATTAAAGCGTACCAAATTTTTATATCACCATCATTTTCACTTTATCCAATGTTCTGCCGGAAATCAATCCTTCCTTGTAACAAAGAAAAATCTGTCAATGCATGTAGTGTTCAGAACTTAACCCTACCACCCCATCTCTCTAGTGACAGGAAGGAAGTATATTTTCTTTTCTGTCCTCAGGAATCTCAGTTTTTCATTACATTTAACCTAATTCAGTTGCATTTTAGTATTTTTTCATTTATATTAATGTAGCAACTGTGTATATTTTTCTGCTTCTGCTTTACTGTAAACTTTGTATATCTTTCCATTTTTTCCTGAATTTCTAAAACTTTTTATTTCTTCTTGTGCAATTCTATTACATTTGCTATATATACATGGCTCAGGACCCTCTAAAAGCTCTAACCTCACAAAATGTTCTCTCATACTTTCTATCTCTCTCTGTCTCTGTCTCTCTCTGTCTCTTTAACACTCTCTCTCTCTCTCTCTCTCTGTCTTTCTCTTGACTTGGAGTCAGGAAGACCTGAGTTCAAATCTAGCTTCAGACAATTACTAGCTATGAGACCCTGGACAAGTCATTCTCTGTAAGCTTATCAAATTAATTGGAGGAAATCATCAAAGTGATCAGAGATTGATATACTGCACATTCATAGATGGCCCTTTGTTCAATCAATGGTTACCTATGCCAGGTTTTTGTTTGCTTTTGTTGCAACAAAGAGTGATGCTATGTATATCTTAGTATGAACATTTCTATCTTTGATGTCCATAAGCATGGATAGTGGGAATGGGTTAAAGGAGATTAATTAGTTTATTGAACTTTCTCAAATAATTCCAAATTGTTTTCCAGAAAAGTTAGACTAATTCTATTCACCAACAATATATTAGTATACTTTTTCCTAAAGCTGTTATAATATTTACTATTTCCAAATTTTTATCATCTTTTTTGCTTTGATAGGTATGAAGTGAAGCTTCAGAATTTTTTGAATTTGCATTTCTATTGTTATTTATGATTTGGAACATTAGTTTATATGATTGTTAAGTTTACATTTCTTCATTTTGAAACTTCTTGTTTATTTCCTTTGATTATTTATATATTGCGTAATAACCTTTGGTTTTAAATATATTTATCACAAATTCTCTATAAATACTGGGCATCAGACCTGTATCAAATATTTCATGCAATAGTTTTCCCACTTATTTTCTCTTCCTGTTCTAATTACATTGATTTTATTTACCCAAAAGCTTTAAATTTTTAAATAATAATAATAGTATCTAACATCTATGCAGAACTTACTACATGCTGGGCATAGTGCAAAGCACTCTATAATGATTTTCTTTTGACCCTGGGAGGTAGGATCTGTTTTTATCCCCATTTTACAGAGAAGGAAACTGCTGAAAACAGAGGTTAAATGACTTTCCCAAGATCATATAGTAAGTGTCTGAGGCCAACTTGAATTCAGGTCTTCCTGACTTCAGCCCTAGAGTGTTTATGTGCCACCTTAGCTTTCACATTTATATATTGAAAAATCATTAACACAAAAAAACAAAAAAACAAAAAAAAAACTTTCGTAGTCTCCTTTGACCTTTATTTGGTTATAAGTCTTGAACCTTTCCCCCACCACTTCCCAAACGAATGATGCCTCCTTACGTTCTCTTACTTTTGTATTCTGTGGCTTTCTCTCTCTCAGACATGCTTATCTCTTGCAAGATACACAGAATAGTATTGTGTTTATAAGTCTGATTAATAAAGTTTCATTATAGCAATTGTATTGAGATGACATTTAGATAAGTAAAGAAACTTTGAAAATAATGGGAAGTTAACTTGAAGGACACTTCCATATCTGACTATAAAAACATTCACTGAATAAGTTATCCTAAATTCAAATTGAATGGTTACCCTTAAATTAAGGAAATTCTTTATAATTCCAGGCATTATAATGTCTTTCCTTAGAAATGAAAGAATCACTTAAAGAATTAATAAAACATGCTTTTCACAGCAGAGTCACTTTTCTAACTTTTTAGAACATCATTTTTTTCTATCAAAAATAAATGCCATCTTTCAGTTCATATAATTTCTTTATAGATGACTGTTTGATACCATGAGCTAAAGATTTCAAACATTTGACAATCCTTTATTACATATTTTGTTTTCTTTCATGTTGAAGTTTGGATATCATAAGTGAATGCTAGTTTTTAGATCAGAAATAATGCATTGCCAATGTCATGAAGATCATTTTCAGCAAAGACCAATGAACAGTTGATCGCATGGACATATGGTGTTGGGCAAAACAAAGCAAGCAGATACAGATGCTGAGCTTACATTTGGAACTTCCCCCAGATAGCATTTTTCAAAATCTTGAATTGACTTCATTGATGAGGATTCAGTCTGCACCTGGAAGCAAGAGGAAAAAAAAGACATTTTATGTCATTTTTTTCTGTAATTCACTAAGTAAATCTATAATGTAACTGATCTAAAATTCTATATGGAACCAAACCCAATGTCATTAAACTTTACATACCTTATATTTTATTTAGAAAGAAAGAAGAATCTCTTCCCATTTAAAACATCTTTCAGAAAGATTATTTTTTTAATTTTAGAGATGTCTTAATAAAGGTAACTGATAAGTATGACATTTGAGAAACTTTATTCTAAGCTATTTGAACATAAAATCAAGTTATGATGTGAAAATATTCCATTTTTTCCTGAAGGTATTGCTTCACTCTAAAATGAATTGTCACTGATACCCTACTGGGTTGGATCAATATTGAAACAGAAAGCTAGAATACTTATCAAAGTTGGGACAAATAATGTGTATAAAAGCAAGACTTCAGGGCAGCTAAATGGAGCAGTGGATAGAGCACCAGCACTGAAGTCAGGAGGACCTGAGTTCAAACCTGGCCTCAGACCAAACACTTGACACTTACTAACTGTGTGACCCTGGGCAAGTCACTTAACCCCAATTGCTAAAAAAAAAAAAAAAAAAAAAAAAAGCAAGACTCCAGGGGAAGCCATATCAACCAACATGGACAACCTTTTAGATGGTTGACATGTTTTCTCAAGTTTTAGAGGAAGAATACCTATGAGTGACAGATTCATTTTCCCTCTAAGTGAGGCCAATTTTATCCACTAATTATTTATTAAAATCTCTTAAATCAGATTTATGTTTAAAATCCTTGAATTGGAAATTTACTGTAGATTTGTAATAAAATAAAATAAAAATAAACCCTACTAAGAATGGCTAGTAAACTCAACTTGCCTAATCTACAATGTCAATGATTAGCTGAATATATTCTAAGTCTCTGTCTCTCCCACTCTCCTTTTTTTCTATATCTGCCTGTCTCTGTCTCTCTGACTTTCTGTCTTTGTTTCTCTGACTTTCTGTCTTTGTTTCTGACTCTGTCTCTGTCTGTCTCTGCCTCTTTCTCTGGGTGTATCTCTCTCTGTCTATCTCTTTCTCTCTCTTCCTCCTCCCTCCAAAAAAAAATGGTATAAATAACAGAAAAAAAGATCCACGCCAGGATCTGACAAATCATAAAGATTTATCAACTAACTCACTAAAATGTTCCTCTGTGTGCTTTTCTGTTGAAGTCATCCAGGTACCCACCTGTAAGACTTCAGTGAGTAGTGTATCCTGTTCCACATATCTGGCCTCAATCTGCTTCAAAACACAGATTTTATCAAAATTGTCATTCAGCTTCCATTGAATGGAGTGAAAAAATAAGTCATTTCCAAATAAGCAACATTATACTGAACTGACACAGTATCTGGAAAATCTGAAGGCACTTGAAACAATGTCAAATTCATTGGGGGAACACAGCACTGTGACTTTCATATGTTTCATATATAAAAGGTGTATAGGTAATTATCTGCAATGTAAAATTCCATAATAAAACAGAGGCAGTTCAAAATCTCATATAGGAAATACTGGATCCCCACTAAGTTTGAATAATAGACGTCCTGAAGCAATGATATATTTTGGAGATGTTCCACATGATTGACAATTACAAACATATGTTGTGGGTTTATCCATGGAAAAGAAAATTTGGGCAAGGCATTTTGTGTATAACCACCTCTATAAAGAAAACCTCTGTATTTTCCTTCTTCCACAAAAATACAAAAGGAAAAAAATTAGAACAAAGGTAGTTCAACAACTAATGATACCTACTCCAAGTCTCACACATTTAATGTCTTCTTAAACTTACTGATGGCATCAACTATGATATTAAGTAAAAAGAGGATACTGAGTCACACAAAAAGAATGGATCTTCAACTTAATTTATTTCTCAATATAAGACTCTATCAACATTAATTCTTAGGCATGGTAAAAGGAAGTTATTTGATCAATATGTATTCTAATGTGCCAATATAGGAAAAAAATTGAAAATTAGAAGCTTCAGGGGGAAAAGATATCAGCACTATTCGAAAAAAAATTGGAGAAAACAGATGCAATATAAGAAAATTTCCCTTTTTGGGGCAATGTAACAAAAATTTTATTCTCAACATATTTTAAGTGTTTATAATATGGGATTAAGCAACCAAATGGATAATTCTATATAATTATACCCAATTCATAAGTTAATTTATTCTGTATAAAATAGCAAATTAATTTGTTGGTTGAGTTTTTTAAATAGCCTTGAATTTTTTTAAAATTCAATCATCAGTACAGAAAAGCTAATTAATTTTTAATATTCTCAAGTACTCACAAATGCTTAATTTTTAGCAAGCGTTATAACAACATTTATGTTGCTTCCCTTTGCAACCCTTGGCAGAATATGATGGTTATGAGAATGCCAGAAATTTGTAATTTACCTCCCAGGTTACTTTTCAATGGGGCAGAATTATTTGACTGTCCAGGAGTCAAAACCTAATGTCTTCACTGCTAAAACTTTCCCTGCATTCATTTTGGCAAATGAAAACCAAACATTTTACCCTGAATTTGGGCATATCACAGGAGTTAACATGAGGGACAGGATTAGGGATAGCTGGGGTCAGATGTTTCCATTACAAGAACCTTCTTCATACCATCTATTTACTCATTTTTCTTATCCTTTGCTAATGTTTGTATTCAAGTACCTTAATTAATGCTCTTTTCTATTTTGAAAATGCACAAATAGCTACTTTTAAATTTAGTCCCTTCTGATAATTATGGGTAGCTTCTACCCAAACCTTCCCACCCCCACACAACCAGACTGGCTATAGCTATATAATCTATCTATGATGCTAATCCAGTAGCCTTCCTTTGATTTGCTACTCTTTAAGTAGCAATTTCAGGTCATCTCCCTTGAGCAACACCCATGAGTAATGAAAAGATTGAAAGTCCCTTTCTGATTTTCTGAAGAAAGATCTCTAATTCTAGACATTGAAATATTGTAGCAGCATGTAGTATCTGTTTCTCAATGTCATGACAAAGTTCTGAAAGGTCAGAGGAAACAGGTTCTACATTGTGCTGATTTAGCTTTCATTTAATTGTCTTCACTTCTTGGAAACATTTTTTTCACTTGAAGGAAATCTTTTAGAAGGGGGAGGCATGGTGTGTGTGTGCATGTGTGTGTGTGAATGTGTGTGTGTGTGTGTGTGTGTGTGTGGATTTGCTTTTTCAATTTGAATCAAAAGTAATGACCTGTACTCAACAGGTAAGTGGGTTCATTTGAGTATTACTGATGTCTGAAAATATTGCTTCTTAATTTATAACATACATGTTTTTGTTTCTGAAAGGCTATTACACATGTGTAGAAGTAATCTTTACACTGAGAAGACAAGTGGGATTTTACATGATGGGTGTGTATGCCCCTACTCTGCTCATTGTGGTCCTGTCCTGGCTATCATTTTGGATCAACCCGGATGCAAGTGCTGCAAGGGTGCCACTGGGTAATGTAACCTTCCCCTCCAGCCCTTATTTGTGTTTTGTATTTAAAGTCTTTGAGGCCTTTGTTTTCCTGTGTTCAGGCATTTGGAAACAAAAAGTTTAGAAATGGATAAAAAGCCATATCCAATTTTTCCTTTCTGATCTAATATTCTGGTTGCTTTTTACAATGTATAACCTATTCTCTTGAACTAAAACACTTTGGAAATATTTCAAATAATTAGTACAATATAAATAAATACACACTATTATTTGAAATGTAGAATTTTAGAATGGAAAATAACGTCAGAAGAAATCTGTACTAACTTCCTCTTTTTATATATGAGGAAACTGAGTCCTTGCAAGGGAAAATGACTTCTCAAGATCATAGTGGTAAACCAGGAATACAACCTAGGTCTCCAACTGCCTGAGCTTCCATATATGAAGGTTTTTCTAGATAACTAAAGCTTATTCCTATAAGTACCCAAAATACTTAAAACTGTTTTGATAGCAGTCTTTCGAAAATATAGTGTGTACATTCCTACCTTACTAAGTGGAAGATACTAGAAAAAAATAAACTTTTTGATGACTCATGCTCATCCCTACGAATATTAATATATACTGTGATGATTCAGCAATGTTCTCAGGGGTTTTGAGATAGGTAGCACTATTTGTCTATCTTACAATAAATAGTCTCTGACTGCTATACTTTTATGTCATGTTTATAAGAGGTAGAGTTGCCTCTCTGAAAAATACTGGAGATTTCCTTATTGATTTCCTTGTGACTATACTAGCAGAGTCATATTCTGTCTTCCCTCCTGTCATAACTAGCAAATATCATTATCATTGAGTTTTTGTGGAGGGATTTTCTTCATCCAATCTTTTTATATTGTCTTTAGTTCATTTTCTCATCACCACAAGGGTTTTCTTTTCTTTTCTTTCTTTTTAAGATATATTTTATTTTTTTGTTAGATATTTCCCAATTACATAAAAAAACATTATTAATATTCACTTCTAAAACTTTGACTTCCAAATTCTCTGTCTTCTACCATCACTACCCCATCTCTTGAGAAGGCAAAAAAGGTATTGATTATACATGTGAAGTCATGCAAAACAAGTTTCCATATTAGCCATGTTGCAAAAGAAAGCAAAAAAAAAAAGAAAAAGTAAAATAAAAAGTGTGCTTCAGTTTGTACTTAGATTTCATTAGTTCTCTCTAGAAGTGGATAGCATTTTTATAACGGTTCTTTGGAATTGTCTTGGGTAGTTGTAATCAGAGTACCAAAGTCTTTCACAGTTGATCATCCTTACAATATTGCTATTATTTTCTATAATGTTCTCCTCATTCTATATACTTTACTTTGCATCAGATCCTATAAATTTTCCCAGGTTTTTCTGAAACCATCCTTCTAGTCATTTCTTATAGCACAATAGTATTTCATCATTACCATATACAACAAATTGTTCATCCATTACCCAATTGATTCACATCCTGTTTCCAATTATATCCCCACAAAAAAAGAGCTACTATAAATATTTTTTGTACAGATATGTCTTTTTTTCCTTTTCCTTCATCTTTTTGGGATATAGACTTAGTAGTAGTATTGTTGGGTTAAAGGGTATGCACAGTTTTGTAGCCCTTTGGGTTCATTTAAAGGTTATTTTGGGGTGAATATAAATAGTAATTGTTTCTCTTTTGGCCAGCAACCCTGAGAGTCTTCCCTTCCCAGTTCAATTTTTTTTTCTTTCATTAACAGGGACCATTACTTGACTCACTTTTTAAACAAGCTTATTCACTAAATAACTGTTGACTCACTCAAAGTGAGAATTCAGAAAGACTGTTAGCTTAAAAGGGGCAAAGTCTCCCATTGCATCCTGGACCATCTCCACTCATCCTGATCTATATCTAGCCACTGGTCCTATGTGGCTCTGGAGTAGAAAGCGAGGCGGGTGACTTTGCACAGCCCTCCTCACTCAAATCCAATTCAATTGCAAGTCATCTCATCATCTTCCTGATGTTATGGTCCTCTTTGAGAATGAAGGATGAACCACAAGGCCTTTGAGTATAGTTCCAAATTGTTCTTCAGAATAGTTGGACTGGTCCAGAACTCTATCAGCAATGAATTATTGTCCCAATTTTTTCCATATCTCTTTCAGCATTTGTCATTTTTATATATTTTTTCATGTTATCCAATATGAGAGGTATGGGCTAGTATCTCAGAATAGTTTTAACTTGGATTTCTTTCATCAATAGTGATTTGGAGTATTTTTTCATGTGACTATTGATGGCTTTGATATCATCTGAAAGCTGTCTGTTCATATCCTTGGATAATTTATCAACTGGAAATGAATCATTTCTTTTTTTATAAATATGGCTCAGTTCCTTACATATTTGAGAAATAAGGCAGTTATTATAGAAATCTGCTGTAATTTCCCCCCAGTTTTCTGTTTTCCACCTAATTTTGGTTATATTAACTTTGTTTGTTAATTTTTTTTTAAATTTCATGAAATAAAAATGATCTCTACCTCTTCTATGGTTATATATTCTTCATTTATCCGTAGATCTAAAAGATACATTATTCCATGCTCCCCTAATTAAATTATTTTAACTTTTATTTATTTTTAATTTATGAAATAAAACAAGCATTTATACAACATAGTAAAGTTTTAAAAAGATGATTGCATGTGAAACTTCAAATATACTATCTATAATTTGCTATTCCTTTTAAATGTATAATAAAGTTGTCATGCAAATTTCTTTTTTTCCTCTTTTTTTTCTTCCCCCAGCCCTATAGGTGGCTACCATTAGACACAGGTGTGTGTGTGTGTGTGTGTGTTTACACACATACATACACATATACATATATATAATTATTCTATATATACTTCTCTTTATCAGTTCTTTCTCTGGATATGGATAGCTTCTTTTTATATACGTACTTTGTGGTTAATTTAAGTATTTATAATAGTCAAAATGACTTAGTTGCTCAAAGTTGTTCTTAAAACAATATTACTGTTATTGTTTATAATGTTCTCTTGGTTCTGCTCATTTTGTTCTTTATTATTTTGTGCAAGTCTCTCCATGATTTTTCCTAAAATCAATGAGCTCATCATTTCTTTTTTTAAATGTTTTTATTAATTTATTTTAATTTATCAACAATCACTTTGATAAGCTTTTGAGTTTTAAATTTTTCTCCCCATCTTTCTTCCTTCCTTCCCCAAGACAGCATGTAATCTGATATAAGCTATACGTATACATTCCTATTAAGCATATTTTCACATTAGTCATGTCGTAAGGAAGAATTAGAACCAATAGAAGGAACCACCAGAAAGAGGAAACAAAACAAAACAGAAGAAAAAAATAGCAAATAGTACACTTTCATCTGCATTCAAACTCCATAGTTCTTTCTTTGGATGTGGATAGCATTTTCCATCATGAGACCTTTGGAGATGTCTTAGATCCTGGCATTGCTGAAAAGGGCTAAATCTATCAATATTAGTCATCACATAATGTGACTGTTACTATGTACAACATTCTCCTAGTTCTGTTCACTTCACTCAGCATCAGTCCATACAAGTCTTTACAGGGTTTTCTGAAGTCTGCCTGTTCATCATTTCTTATAGTACAATAGTATTCCATTACATTCATATACCACAACTCATTCAGCCATTCCCCAGTTGATGGGCATCCCCTCAATTTCCAATTCTTTGCCACCACAAAAAGAACTGCTATAAATATTTTTGTACATGTGGATCCTGAGCTCATCATTTCATATGGTGCAATAGTATTCCATCAGTAGCATTCCCTAACTTAATTATGATATCACCATTTATGTCTAAATCTCTTATCCATTTTGACTTTATCTTGGTATACAGTATGAGATATTGGCCTATGCCTACTTCTTTCCCTCCAAACTTCTTTCCAGTTGCCCCAGCATTTTTTTTATGTCAAATGGTGAATTCTTACCCTCAAATTTTGGGTCTTCGGGTTTAGCAAACACTAGCTTACTATGGTCATTTACAGTAATTGATGGTCATTTATCATCATCATACATTGTATAGCTAGTCTGTTCCACTGATCCACCACTCTATTTTTTAGCCAGTACCATATTATTTTGATGATTACAATTTTGTAATATAGTTTAAATCTGGTACTGCTAGGCTACTTTCCTTCAGATTTTTTTTCCACTGATTTTCTTGATATTCTTGATCTTTTTTTTTAATATGAATTTTGCTATATTTTTTCTAGCTGTATAAACAATTCTTTGCTAGTTTGATTGGTGTGGTACTGAATAAGTAAATTAACTCAGAATTATAATTTTTATTATATTGACTTGGCCCACCAATGAGCAATTAATATTTTCCCTATTGTTTAGATCTGTCTTTATCTGGGTGAAAAGTGTTTTGTATTTGTGTTCATATAGTTCCTGGGCTTGTCTTGGCAGGTAGATTCCCACATATTTGATATTGTTCACCAATATTTTATATGAAATTTCTCTATCTCTTGTTGCTGGGTAGTATATAAAAATGCTTATTATTTCTGTGGGTTTATTTTATATCCTGCAACTTTGTTAAAGTTGTTTATTATTTCAATTAGTTTTTTTTAGTTGATTCTCTAGAGGTCTCTAAGTATACCATCATATCATCTGCAAAGAGCGATGGCTCTCATGTATTTTTCTTGTCTTATTTTATAGTTATCATTTCTAATACAATATTGAATAAAATAGTGATAATGGGCACTTTTGCTTCACCTCTGAAGTTATTGAAAGGCTTCAAATTTATTCCCAATGCTTGCTCTTGATTATAGATAAATACTATTTATCATTTTAAGAAAAATCCTTTTTTATTCCTACACTTTCTGGTGTTCTTAATAGTAATGGGTGCTGTTTTTGTCAAAAGCTTTTTCTGCATGTATTTATATAATCATATGACTTTTTATTGATTTTGGTATTGATGTGCTCAATTATGCTGATAGTTTTCCTAATATTGAACCAGCCCTGCATTCCTGGTATAAATCCTACCTGGT